TTGGCCCGCTGCCATCCAGAGCTCTCCGTGGAAAACTAGCCTGGCTGCTCAGCCCTGAGCCCCAGCGCTCCGGGAAAACCCAGGGATTGAGGCAGGTGAGCCCTGGGAGAGGTGCCAGGGGGGGCTTTTCCTCTGGCACCCGCTCCCTGCTGCTGCTTCCCTGGGGCAGGAACAGCGGGCGGGTGTTGGGGGGTGACAGTTCCAGGCTCCTTTGCTGGGAGAGCCTTGCCCTCTGCCATTAATTGGAGGAAAACAACCCGAGTCCTGCTGCTTTTGGGGAATGTTGGTGTCTGTGGAGCAGCAGCTGGTGCTCGGCTCCGGCGGGGGAGCGGCGGGAGGAGGAGGGAAGGGCTCGTGTTTGGGTTCTGGGTCTAATTGGCAAAGCTGTAATAATTCTCCCATCAGATACGTGATGCACCCAGCCCACTTGCATTTCCAGTCTAGGCTGTGCAATAACAAGCCATAACACTGGGAATTTCGTGAATAACCATTCCTGCTTCCCTCCCCTTCGGCCCTTCCAGCGCCGTCCCTGGAAGGCAAATGAGCAGCATCTTCATGGAGAGAGAGAAGGCAGCCCAGACAGAGGCCTGGAATAACTTGGTTAAGTTTATCAGAAAAGCCAATAACACCATTAGGATTTATGCCCAGGAATTAGGATTCTGGGAGCGCTTGGAGAAGGAGATGTGTCTGTGTGGCCTGCGAGGAGGAGAAGCTCTGCCCTCAGCAAAGATGACAGAGAAGAAAGATGACACAGACTCTTAGGAGGACTTGAAGGGTTCCCTGGAATTTGGGGTATTGTGGGCTGGAGAGGGACCCCCACATCCTCACTGGATCCATCCCAAGATCTTGGCCCAGCCTGGCATGAGCCACGACAGCAGAATCAGATCCAAAGGGGGTTTTGTGCCCCCAGAACCAGCAGTGCTGGTGCATCCAGGAGCCACCTATGGCTCCTGGACTGGGGGATTACAGGGATAAAGGCTTGGATGAGTCACCACAGCTCATCCCAGTCCAACAATCTCCATGGAGCTGCAGCATCACGGCAGCTCTGCTCCACAAAGGCCCTGCTGGCTGTTGGGTAATTTGGGCATGAAACCATAAAATGGGCTTGTCTGTGCTGGGAAGGTCAGATCCAGGCTCATCCCCACCAGCTGAAAAGGCCAGGATTGTCCTGGAGAGGAATATTCTGGGAGCTGTGGCGTCACTGGAGTTTGGGGGGGGGCAAAACCTTAAATTATCTTCCAGAGCCCTCCAAGCAACATGTTCCACACCCACCCAGCCACAGGAACTTCTGCACCACCAGCCTGGAAACCTCATCAGAGCAAAGCTGAGAGGGGCCAGAAAGTGAGTGAGGAGACCTCGTGAAATCCAACACAAATCAAGGTTTTCAGTTGGGTGCCAACACCTAAACCTCTAAAAATCCCATTTGGGAAAAGCACAGAACCAGAACCTGTCTGCCTGCAATGCTGCAAAGGGACGTGGGGCCCTGGAAACCCATAGAGAGTCGGGTTTGGGTTGATCTGGGGCTGCTCAGTCCTAATTATTTGTTGGGATATAGGGCAAAATTAATAAAGGAGCACGTGGACTGTGAAAATGAAGCTTCCCAGGAGAATTGCACCGGCATTAGACAGCATTTTATGGAATCATGGAATCATTTAGATTGGAAAAGACCTTTAGGATCAGCAGCACTCCAGAGCCAAAGCTGATGTCACATCACTGTGATCTCAAACCTGGAAGGAGGCAGGAGAGGTGGGATCCACCACCTGGGGAGATGTTGGGGTGGCTGTATCCCTCCAGCAAGCCCATCCTGACTTTTCCCTGACTCATCCCAGTGCTGGGAATCCTGGCCAGGCTGGTCCTGAGCTCTAATGAGCGCAATTAACGCCCGGGGGCTGCTGATGGGCTTTGATGGGAGGGGGGGGCTGTGCTGGAAACCAGTTCCTAAATGTGCAGGAGCCCAGGTCGGCTCCAGCCTGGGAGCCTCATGAAATTTAGCTCAGGAAGGGCTGTGTGGGGAAGAGAGAGGAGTATTAACGAACTGAAGAGAGCTAATTAGTGGAGAGGAGCCATCCACGGATGGCAGCGGTGAGCAGGTCCCACCAGGGCCTTGGAGACAAAGGGAGCAGCATCCAGCGAGCTGTCAGAGGGAGAAGGGGCTGCATTTTAGACGTGGAGAGAGGCTCTAATTGCCAAAATGCCTGGGAATCCTCCCGTGGCACTCGGCTGAGCCCTGGAGTCACTCGGGGCTGGAAGGCTGCTCGTCAGACACCACTTCATTTGGAGGGACCTCTGCAGCTCCTGGAGCTTCACTTGGGTAAATCTGAGCCCCTCCCACCCCCAAATCCATTTTCTGTCTGCTAATGGGGAGAGGAGTGAAAGCTCAGATCCTTGTGTTACTGCAGCACAGGCAGGGAAGGGACTGGATTCCACCCGGGAAGCAGAACCAACTCCCACCACACTGCACAGCTTGGGAACACCCCCCAAAGCAAAGGGGTACAAAACCAGCAGGTACCAAACCACTCCAACACACCTGGGCCTCACCTCTAGCAAAGGGAATTTCCCCAAAGAGTTGGTGCAGCCCCTTCCCCCTGCAGGTGAGGGGGGCCGGGGGGGGGAAGGTTCAGCAGATTCTGGGGTGAGGATTTCTCCCTCTTGCCTTGGTTGTGCTCCAGCTCGGTGAAATCCCGCTTTCCTGAGCTCGGGTTATGACTCTTTTAGCAGGAATCCTCTTCTCCCAAGCCCGAATAATGGCCCGTCCTGGTCTCCTTAGTAACTGCAGCTGCCACATCACTTTTGACAGCGGAGCATCCTTTGTATCCTGGTTCCCGCCGGCTCCCGCCGCTTCTTGCACTGGCAATTGTCTGGAATTTCTCCAAATGAGCAACTTTTGTGTGTGTGTGTGGAGGGAGGGGGGGGTTGTTTGTGCTGCCAGAAAGGGGCTCTTTGTGTTTCCTTCCTTAAAGCCAAGTGGGAACCTTTGGGGGGGATCACATTTACTGAGGTATCTCCTGGTGGGGTCCCACCCCCCCCACTCCCCAGTCCAAGTACTGCTCCTGTTATTTCTGCAAACACTTTCCCAAGGCTCTTTCAAACCTCTGCAGGAAAAGTCCTCTCATTGATTATGGCACTAAAAGGCTCTGTGGATTTTGGAACCGGCTCCTATCTTGCTGTAGGAGTTGCACCTCCTGAGCTCTGCCAGCAGCCAGGAAACCTCCCTGAGCTGTGGAGAAGGAATTTGTTCTGGGAAGGCTGGAGCATAAAACCTGTTCTTGGGGTAACACCTGTCCTGGAACTCTGGGGGGGCATCCAGGGGGGTTTTGGAGTTGGCCTCCTGCTCCTGGATGTGGGAGTTTGGGGGGAAAGGGAACTGAGGGGAGAGAAGCAGCTTTTTTTTGGTCTTTTCTGTAGGAGGAAATGTGCCAAAAAAAGTGGGAGACTGAAGTTTGGATGTCTGGGGAAGGAGAAGAGTTTGGGAATACCCACATAGGTGTGAGCCTGGAGTTTGGATCCCTGGGAAGGGGAGGAGGTTGGGAATACCCATCAGAGGTGCAGAACAAGCCCCTGCACAAGCAACAGCAGCCAAATACCCAGGTGATAGTCCAAGTCCTGGCAGCCCCCAGAGCTGGACCCAATTCCCAGTTCCTGGAAGGACCGGGATGGAGCTGGATTTGGACAGGGATCATGGCACTGCCTCATTCCCAACCCCACCGTTTCATTCCCCTGCTCCCCTGAGGACACGGATCATTTCCAGTAAAAACACTCTGCCTGCCCCGGTGACACCAGGAAGATTTTATTCCCTCTCTCCAGGTCAGCATGGGGAGGAGTTTCTTTTCCTCCAGAGTGGATTCCATCCTGCTCCCAGAACTCCAGCCCCCCTCCTGCCCCGTGGGGTCAGATCTGGGCAGGGAGAGCCGGTGGGATTGGACACGGAGGAGATGAAGGGAAAACACATGAATCAGAGCACCAGGGGAGCCACATGAATCACACCTTGTGTCAGCAGCCCTGACAGGCTCCTGCAGGACTTCTCTGCCCAGGAACCCAGTTCCAAGTCCACAGAACCCCCCAGGGTAAGCAGGGCCGGGGTGGCACCCTGGGACAGTCCTTCCCACCCATCCCAGCTCCCTGTGTCCATCCCAACAGCCCTTCACACCCCAAAGTGCTGGGAAAACCACCAAGGGTGGTGGGAAAACTCATCCCCAGCTCCTGCTGCTGAAGAACTGGACTGGGGCAGATGAGGTGGCTCC